CAGCAGGATTTCAAAATAATTTGGAAAGACTACTGGAATAATTTTCTCTGTCCTATTGTAGTAGTAGGATTCTGACTTTGTCACATGGAGATCATTTCCACTTGCTAATACCCTACAGAGTGTTTTAAAACAGGAATTTGTCAGTACTCCTTGGTAGCTCACTTCAGCCAACAGCTGTCTTAGACTTTACAACTTTCTTTCAGTCTAAAAAGAGAGTTGTGGCTCACTGGTCAATTGTTCTCTCTGCAATTAAGAGTTGTTTTGAAAACCAGCAATTAAATCCACCTAAGACTCCATATAGAATTATAGATAAATGGGATGCACAGTCATTTAGGTTCTCAGCCTCATGAAATGCGAGCAGACACTTCCTGAAAAGTGCGGTATTAAAACTTTGCTGTGTGTATTATGGGGTAGATTAGGTAAAGACTTACCAGGTATGGACCTGTCTAGTCCTCTTGTTTCACGATGTGAACCAGGGAGAGCCCTGCTTACAGGTTTTGGTTCAGCTAACCACACATAGGATGATTTACTTTAACCTTGATTGCTATTGCATATTATTCTTACTTTTGGGTGGAAAATGCCTTCTGTTATTTTCAAAGGTCTGTTTAATTTTTCTCTCTGTTCAGTTCAAGGATTTTCTCTTTTGGTAATTGGGGGCGTGTGTTTTGTTGTCTTTTTTTTTTTTTTTTAATATTAATACAGAGGTGACACTTAGCCTTTTACACATTGCACTGAAGAAGCATTCCTGAGAAATATGATGAAATTTTCACTCACAATCACATTTTTCTTTCCATTATTTGTTGTTTAGGGATGTACATTAAAATGATAGACATAAGAGGAAGAAAATTGTATGGGTACAAATCAGCATTCCCGCTGCTCTTTCTTAAGCCAGTGCTAGTACTCAGTCAATGAAAACTCTCTTAAAATACTGCTTTCTTCTTGTTAAGGCTAGGGCAGTGTGTCCCTAGGCATTCAGTCTGAATGTATACAGCATTTCTTTAGATGTTATTTGTGGGGTTTTGCAGACTGCCTTCTTTTCCTGGTTATTTAAAGAGTCCAGTACTGTGAAATCCAGTCTTCTTTTCATAGCCCCACCCACTAAAAACAAAATTATTATGAATTATTCAGTTAATGTGGGCATCATGGCTGACTTTTTAAAATGCTTAAAAAAAAGCTTACTGGCATCCTTGGGAAGAAGTAACCTTCCATGTTGAATTAACGTTGTTTTTATTTAAATATAGAACTACGACTAATTCAAAACCATTTTAGATGCTGCGGCTGTGCCAAATATCATAGAAGTGATAATGTGCTTAGGAATTCTGAACATAACAAGTGACGTACTTTTTTTTTTTTTAACAGCATGCCATCTTCCTGAGACTTGCACACTGTCCCTTTAGAGAAAAAGGAGATGTTACTTTCTTAAAATTACCAGTTTATAAGTTCCTACGCTGTAATTTATTGTCTAAAGTAGGAGGAGTGAGGTGCTGCTCATCCACACCCTCTTCTTGGTGATTCAGAGTTTGCTTCCCAGTCCAGCTGATTTCCATTTCCACCGCAGATGCACATTGGGGATTGAGTCTTGACCAGTCACCCTGACTACTCTTTGGCATTTAAATCTGTGTCGGTGCCCTCTAATGTCAAGGTTAGCGTGGGATCTTGCGGCTTGGCAAGCCCCCGGCGAGCCAAGGGGTTTCGGGCAGCTGCTGCTGTTTGAGTGAGAAGCCCAGGTGCTGGGCTTGGGGCCGCTGCGGCGACCGCCCGGCCGGTGGCCTTCCCTGGGGGTGACGGGGCCAGGACGCCCGCGCGGATTCTGTTACATCGCCTTCCCGCCGCCAGTGACCTTCGCCGTTCCAGAACTCATCTCTCATCTCTGTTTCCCCTGATTTTGTGTAGGTGCTGGGATGGCTGGAGAAGGTCACGATTTGCAGTTGAGCTGAGAGAGGCGTGAAGCATCATCCGTCCCCTGCTGACATTTGAGGTAGTGTGATAACCTTTATCTTACCTGCAAGTGACTTCATGTTGGCTAAGCACAGCGATCGATAGTATCCTGTAGCACTCTGCAGATAATCCTCACAGCTCCCAGGATCCGTTCCTACAGGAGGTGATAATGATAATATGCCGTATACAAAATGCTGATTGAGATCCAATCATCGTATTTTACTACCCCAAACAATAGAGATAGTTGAATTAAGGCTGTCAAATTCAATCCTGATGTAAATTGATGGCTTCAAGCCCATTTCAGCCAATCTCTAGCAGCCAGCTTTTGAGACAAAGGGCTTGGTAACTGGTAGAAGTGCTTAAAAAACATTTTTCCTTGTCAGAGAAAAATTAGGATACTGTATTTTAATGAACCATTTCTCACTTATAATGTTATTTAAAGTATTAATTGCCTGACTTTTGGAAAAAGAAAAAAAAAAAAAATCAAAAATCTGTGTTTTTCCAGGGAGAGAGAGCGTGAAAATGCCTATCAGGACGTTGTAGATAAATCCTGGTATAAATGACATCTAATTTGAATGTATGTATTGGGTCTAATTCATATCAGGGGTATATTATTGAAAGCTTAACCAGATTACAGTGGGGTAAATTTGAGTCAAGCATCACAGGTACACACTGTGGTGTAAGGGATTTGGACCTACGGTTGCTGGTGCCATGGAACTGGAAAGCTGTTACCTGGTGCTAAATGGCTGCGTGAGACTTCACAGCTGCTATCTGTGTACTGTAGCAGTTTTATGAGACTTAACTGGCTATTCCTGTCTCAGAGTACATAAATGTAATGTCATTAAATAGAAGGGAAATTCTAGAGATTTTTTGCTTTGGTTGTGATAACAACAGGTAGAACTTGCCACCCTGTGTCCGTGTTTTTAATGTTTCTGAAACCAGATGGTAGAACTCTAGATGCATTCATTGCACCACGGATCTCTGCTTGGGAGACTTGTCTAAAGATATACCAATTCCACTAAGAAAATAAGGTCAGAATAGCGAAAAGTTACTTGTAGAAATGCTTGTAAAGTAGGCATAACTTAGAGTCATTAGGGACCTCCTCAACCAAAGCCTTCTTTGTTGTGGTTATCGTGCCTTCTCATACAGAGTTAAGCACACCTGAAAAGCAATTTATGAAGGACTTCTCTCATTTTATAGCTGAAGCTTGGCAACACAGCCTCACAGAAAGCTGCTTCTGTGCTCTGTTTTCGTGACTTTCCATGCCCACCGAGCTGGTCGATCTCTAGCTAAGCTGCCTGTCCCCGATTCCTCTGTAGCAGCAGAGCAAGAAGTGTGCCCAGCACTGGGAGCACACAGCCTGGAGACAGGGTCTGGCCTTGCTTCCAAGCTCCCCCTCGGGCTCACTCAGGGGTTCGGCCACCCTCTGTAACCTCACTGTGTTTCAGTTTCCTATTTGTAAATGAAGGTTAATAATCCTTAACTTCCAGAAGGGACCAAAGCATCCCGATCCTTAGGAAATGCTGTTACTCACACAGTGCCTGTCATATCTGATGTGGTATTATTGATGCCATATTACCCGGGGAGAGTTCAAACCATTTAAGTGTGACCCTGGGCTTGGAAATCGATAGTGGATCGCTGGGTGGCAAAAATAATTTCTGTGTTGCTTTTTCGTTTGGTATTTTCCACTAACTAGAGATGAAGAGCATTTTGGCACAGGGAAGAGCAACTAACTTAATCCAAGGATAATGTGATCATGGGGGGGGGGGAGATTATGCTGACCGGATATCTTGAAAATTATATGTCTGTAATTACCTATGCCAAGTTAGTTTTAGATTAAGAACTGGAAATGTGATAACTGTCCCCTTGTAGATCAATTAATGGCTTAGCCTTCATATGTTTGTACATGCTTGGCAATACCAGCCCCAGACTCAGTCATCTGGAGGCAAGTTTACTGTTCAGCTCTTCTGTGAAATTGAGACATTTAATGCATTATGCGCAGTGGGAGATGTTCATCTGCACATTTTCTAGGCTGCGATTAATAAAGTGTTCTACTCTGAATGAGGTTTTTGTTTATCCTAAATGAATGTGTGGCTTAAAAAATAAAAATTAAACAGATGCCTTGTTATTTCAAGTCCGGGATACTGAAAGTGACCCATAGATATGGCGAGAGTAATTTGTGCTGCATTGACATTTACAATCCCAATGGAAGATAACACGAAACACAGCTTTAAATAGATTTTGACAGTGCTGGTAGTTCTGCTGAATGTGCTGGAAAAAAATTTAATATCTGGCCAAAAGTAGCAGAGATGTTTGTAAAATAACTGCTGTAAAATATTCCAGTAACCGTAATTTCTTTAGCTGTTAACACTTATCCAGCTACCAGGTCAGCACACCTCTCCTTCCTTTAAATAAAGCTCTGCTAAGTTGCTTGCTGTGGAATACAACATATGGAGTACAGAAACCATTTGTGGTGCTGCGAGAGCCTGAGAAAAGCTAAGAGCATGGAAATAAAATTGACTGTTCCTCCACAGTTTGGAAAAAACTTACAGCAACACAGGGCTTCTCCTTTGGAACAGCCTTTTATATTCAGGGAAGAACTTGCCGAGAGTGAAAATGTCAATAATGCAATAAATTTACCCCTTGGTTTAATACCAACATGCTGTAATATTTTTCTCATCAGGCAACTTGTTTGGTGATGTTAGGCTACCACAAAGTAGGTATCAACCATGTGTGGGTTATGTCTGCTAGTTTGTGACTGGGACCCGATCCAAATCCTTTAACTGATATTGTTATGAATAGATCAGACATATATACTTAAGTGGAAAACAAAAAAAAAAATCACTTTTTTTTTTTTTTTTAGTTTTTTGGCTATTCCTCATACTTTTGTTTTATCAGTTCATCATACAATTTGAAGGGTTTGCTTTTTAGCATTTAATGATACAGTCATCAGTAGGACAATTTAATTTGCTGTTAAATAAATTGAGTTAAATTTTGCTGCTGTTGAGTCATATGTTACTGCAAATTTTAAATCAAAGTTGAGATTCAGTTTGAACAAGTCTGGTAAAGCCAGGTGTTACATCCTGGCAAAGGGCTACAGGCAGTCATATTTTATTAACTACTGTGCATAAAATAGAAAGAAAACTAGGAATGCTAACATTAAAATACTGAAAGTACTTATGTAATTGGCTTTTTTCTTTTAAAGACAGTACTCCACAGTCATTGGTAGGCACTTTTATTCTGGCTCTTGTTTCTGAGTAAAGTATTTCATAAATACCCTGTTTGAGAATTATTTGTGAAAAACAGATTTTCCAAACTGAATATACGACACTGAACCAGTGAGAAGAATCATGCTGGATAAATCTGTGGAAACCAATCCTCCCACACATGGCTCGGTGTGCTTTAAAAATGCCCTCCAGCAAATAAAGTTGTATGCTGTGCATGCTACCTCAGGGTTTATTATGAGTGACTAGTAAAAATATGTCCATACAGTCCAGTCTTTGCAGCAGTATGCAGGAAGTAAATCTGGATTTTGGAAGGGCCAAGCCCAATGGCCCCGCTGTTAGTGCAGCAACATCCACCTCCGTGCCCTCTCCCAGGGGAAGCGGCTCATCCCTTTCACCACACTGTGTGAGCAATCTCTCCCCTTCCAATCTATGTTCCTCATGGAGGCAGTTGCCCTCCTACTTCCATCCCTAGGAGACATCAAGAAATAGGAAAAAGGAAAGGAGGGGAGCACGGGTATGGAAAAGCACAGCTGCCCATACCTCCCTGTGCCGATGGCAGCGGGAGGAAGCCAAGCTCTCCTTTGGGCTGTGGCTAGCAGAAAATGCTGGAGGGTTCGGGGAGCCTTCATGGCTTTGAAAGCCATTTCTCACCTCTTCCAGGCAGAAGTGACGCAGGCTGGATGACATCGTTTCATGGGCTAGATCTGGTTTATGAACTATGTGCTGTAAATAAAAACCTACTTAAAGAATCCAATTTTCATTAAAGAAAGAAATGCTAGTTCTCTTTTTCAGATGTTTCTCTGTAAAGCTATACCACCAGCGCCGTTAATTTGTGCTACAGCTCCTAGTAACAGCTGCTTGTTACCATATCAGATGACTTTCTGCCACATCAGTAAATTAAATGTACTACTCCCATCAGGACAAATTCTTCTTGAAAAAAATAGCTACTGGGTTGTTTCAAATAAGATAGTTGCTAAAAAAAATCACACACCACATGGTGCGAGTTTCCTAATGTATCTGCAGTATGATACTTAAACTTTTCAGGCTCGAAACTGTTCTCTAGATCCTTTATCAAATACGTATATAAGTATACCTAGCAGTATCTGTAGCAAGATCTAGAACAAGTATCTATATCAAAGGAATGCACATATTTCAATTAAGACTTAAAAAAACACCTTTCCTCGAATGTGGAACAAAAATACACGGGGAAATTAAACCACAACTGCAAGCTCTACATTTTGAGGACTTTACTACTCCGTAAGGGTATGGCTGTTGGGTAGCCCCCTACCAGCTGAGCTACTCAGGAGAAACCTGGCTGACCCACAGTATGTCCTTTTTCCGTGAATTTCATGTCTACCATAGAGCGTGTCTGAGACTGGAAGAAAGCCTGCTCTCCTAGGGAGATAAAAACTTAATTCCAGGCCAGCCAAAACTAGACCCTTCTTAGCCAAGAAACTAATTTATAGACCACCGAGTAATCCTGCAATTCATTGTCCTCTGCAACCCATAGAACAGCTGACATCTGGATTCACTTTCTAAGCTATGAAAGGACTAGAGACTTGGAGGGGCTGGGGCGTTTTTTATATGTGATTAAAGCACTCTGTATCAATTTGTATTCAGAGCTAACTGATTGGTAAGCTGTCAAAAATCTTTGCAGATCACCACTTTTAAAGCTTCTGAAAGCAGCAACAGAAAAATACCTCCGCTGAATGAACTATACCAAGTCATTATTCTTTTTAGTGTATGAGTCCAGTCACCTGTTATGAGGCTAAGTGCTGAAGAAAAACTTCTATGCAGTAAGTGAGCTAAAAAT